GCCTCTGTCTCTCTTTGTGTCTTCCAGCCTCTGATGTGGTGAGTTTGGACGGCAGCAGCAGTCTGGTGTTCAGGTTGACCCCCGACCCGAGGCAGACGTCCAGAGAGGTCGTCTCTCTGAAGTTTAAAACCCTGAGGAATTCTGGGACGCTGCTGCATGCAGAGGGAGAGAGAGGGAGAGGACTCAGTCTGGAGTTGGAGAGAGGAAAGCTGCAGCTGCTGCTCAGACAAGGTAGCTCACACAATATACTGATATCTACACAACTGAGCAATACTGACATATATTATCTATGTAAGTAACATTTATTTATAAAGTGCTTTTCCCAGACATGGTCACAAAGTGCTTGACAAAGCATTAAAACACAATACGAATCCTAAAAGATTAAATGACCACACAAGCCACGTGTTAAGAAGTGCTCAAAACACAATACATTGTGAAAAACACAATAAAAACAGAATACAAACATAGAATACAATAGAATAAAAGCACACAAGTTACCCGAACGCCTGCCCAACAGGAATGTCTTTAGATGACATTTAAAAGCGTCAACAGAGTCAGCGGACCGTGGGTGAGCGGGCAGAGCGTTCCATAGTTTAGGAGCCACGGCCTCGAACGCTCGATGTCTTGTACATTGGAGAATAACACAACAATCTCTATGAATACCAGGTTTATCTGAAGAAATATTGGGAGATATACGGGTATGGCAAACAAGAGAAGTGGTAGGCTTAAGAAGCTTGTTGACATCGTTGGTAAAAATTGAAACATAGCTGAAACAACTTGATCAGCACGAAGAGATGTAGTGTCTTGACATGTCCTCTGTCGGCGTACTGGTGGAGAACTTCTCTATAAGGTGGAGGACAATATAAACCCCCCTGAGATAACTTCTGATTGGTTGTGGTTGGGTGAGATGGACGACACGCACGCTGCCGCCTGATTGGTTTAAACCTCGGCTCTCGCTCCGTTGCTGCGTCTCTGTCTAGTTGCTGCCGTGATGGATGGTATCCGTTCACTGTAGCATGTGTTAGGGCCGGACTCTGTAGGACTTGATGCATGGCTTACAGACTGTACAGAGGGAGGTGTGTGTGTGTGTGTGTGTGTGTGTGTGTGTGTGTGTGTGTGTGTGTGTGTGTGTGTGTGTGTGTGTGTGTGTGTGTGTGTGTGTGTGTGTGTGTGAGGGTTGGTTAAACTACTGCTGAAATACTTTCTCCATCCATTCACCCATCCCCTCCCCCCATTATCTCTCTACCTCCCTCACTCCTTTCCTTTTTCTTTGCCTCCTTCACCTTTCCTTTTTCTTTGCCTCCTTCACCCTCTTTCTTTTGCATTTTAAAACTCCCAAAACCTTCTGTTACCCATACATATTTGTCTTTGCCTCTGTCAAACTTTCAGCCCTGTGTTTTTTTATACACACATACTTATCTTTCTTTTATCCATCTTTCGAGGGGCCCTCATTTTCAGGTTCATATTAGTATTAAGTGTCTCTACTGTGACATCTGGCCGGCTCTGTTGTGATTGGTCAACCGCTTAGAGATGTCCGGCCCCTTATCTTATCTAATAAGCTAATAATAACATATTATCTCCATGATATTAGTGTGCACATTCATGCTGTAAATATATTGTATTTCTTCGACCCCATGACCCCTCTTCTGTGTTGCCATCCGACTTAATGTTTCCTTTATGGTGACCAGTCGCTTTTTAATATGTTCCTGGCACGTTCAGGCTCCCATCAGGAAGTCACCTATTGATTTCTGCTGACCCACATCACCACTCATATAAACATCTCACTCAAGGACTCACTGACAGGAGGTCTTACACAGAAGGCAGCGGTGCATTTTTTATATTCCACACCAAGCAAACAACTTACTGCCATGTCATAAACCTACATGTGCGACCATTGCTGTCACTTCTTGAAAAAAGATGAATGTATTTTTAATCCCTGTTGACCTTGCTACTTCATCCACAAAGTAAAGATAAGCCACATGCAGTAAAATAAAGAGAGAGCGACAAAGAAAAAGTTACATTTGATCTCTGTATATTAACATGAATTCATGGACTTCTCTTATTTTTTCCACCGTTGTCTTTCCAGTCATGAAGTCAGTAATGAAATCAAATATTCAAAGAAACAACCATAAGATCCTCTCCTTGTACATCCAACAGCATCTTATTTGTTTTAAAGTGTTGCTATTCTCATATTGATTTCACAGTGATGTATTCTCTTCTTCACTGTAGATGAATTTGTTTTCTTCATATAAGCTGCAGACAAATACACCTCTCACAAAATGGACTGCAATATCAGAAAATGTCCATCATCATTAAAGTGTCTCCGTTTCTCTCTTTGAAGTTGGAACTGAGTCTCCCTAAAGATTATCTAATGCATTTTAATGATGACTGTATTCAGCTCTTCAGCAGAAACACAGCGTTTCTCCCACAGTACTGCAGGGGATGCAGAAATGAATCCACCCATTTGGACTTTGCTCATCAATCATTAACGATGTCTCGCCATGTTTCCGCTGCAGTTTCTCATATTCTGCATTATGACATATTTTGCTTTGGTTCTCAGATTCTACGACGCAGCTCAGACTATTTTATTCATCCCAGGGGAACATCTTTTGTGACAGTTTTTTATTAAATAAAAAAATTGAAATTATTACAAATTAATACATATATTTATTAAATATGTTAAAGTATAAATATGCAAGCAAAATATAGAAAAACATTTAAATATGTGTGCGTAGGTTTAAAAAAAGGGGTCGTTGGGTGTGTGGTGTGTTGTTCTATCTCCTTCTATTTTCTTTTACATTTATTTGTTATTCTTTATATTTTTTGTGTGAATTCTTTCTTCATTATGAATTTAAAATGAAACAATATTTATGTAAAACAAAATGCTTAAGTCAAATGTAAAAAACAATGGATTCAAACATAGCATATGCTGTATACAGGGGAAACTAAACTATTCATCAAAGGACATAATATGTTATTGGCCTGGTGCTAAGTTATTTTTACATATTGGAAACAAACTTTATTCTAAGTTTGTAAAATCACGATTTTCTACAGCCTTTTTTCATTACTCTCTCCACCTCTCCTCTCCTCTTCCAGGCAGGACTTCTTCCTCTGAGCCCCGGCGTCTCTCCTCCCTCGGCAGCCTGCTGGATGATCAGCATTGGCATCATTTAGCGGTGGAGCGGCGCAGCGCTCACCTCAACCTCACTGTGGACAAACACACGGAGAGGATTCAGATCCCTGCAGAGTTCAGCCACTGGAACATCCAGCAGGTGGGAGAACACACAGGAGAACATGCGTCCACACTTTGATGCAATCAGGAAACTAAAGTATACTAAACGCTCATATTAGAGCCAGACATGTGTAGGTTTTGTATTTTATTATTTATTGTGCATGCAACCCTCTGAATATCTCTGTTTCTTTGTGTCTTCGTCCAGCTGAGTGTGGGGACATTCCAGAGCCTCGGCTCTCAGAAACCAGTCGTCTCTAAGAGGGGTTTTCATGGCTGCCTTGAAAACGTGTTGTTCAACGGCCTCAACTTGATAGATCTAGCCAAACACAAAGACCACCGAGTTACCCTCATGGTAAGTTACTTTTGTTAAACACAACCACATGCTCTGAGGGGGCACAGCATCAATCACTGGGCACTATAACACAAATCCACCTCTGAACGTGGTCCTTCAGAAAGTTACTCTTTCAAAACACGTATTAAATATTCTGCGTTGTGTGTTTTGGTGACTCTTTAAACATCCTATTTAATTTCTGTTATATAATGCACTTTTATTCTTAGAATATTTTTATGCTGTTTGTATATTTTTTTCATATTTAGGTGTGGAGAGCTGAGCGTACACATTTCATTGTACATGCACATATATGTATATACTGTACATATCTTAAATACAAACATGACCAAAGAGCAGCATGTTAATTTTCAATTCGGCCACATTTTTATTTAGTTTAAAGTAATAAGGTTGTTTTATTTAAGTGTTTTTTTATTGGTAATTTTGTGCGAAACAATTGCCAACGTGCGTTTGTGTTTTGATAAGAATCCTTTTGTCTCTACTGGGATTCTATCAATGTGTTATAGATTGTTAAGCCCTCTTAGAGACATTAGTGTTTTGTGATTTTGGGCTGTATAAATGACATTGAATTGATTAATGGATTGAATCGAAGTGGTGACATATTGGCTTTACCATTCAGGCCCTGCAGTACGCTGGTTCCTGTGGATGCCTGGGTAATGAAGCCAGGATAAAAGAGTGTAAAAGGTGGTTAGACTCTTACTAATGCCCAGTGTTGTGCTAGTTACTGAAAACCAATAACTAGTTACCATTACTAGTTACTTAATTTCAAAAGTAATTCAGTTACTTTACTGATTACTTACACCCAAAAGTACTTAAAAAAAGGGCTCCCATTAATGCCCTATAGCCTTCATTTCAGTACTGTTATTGCATTGGAGAGTAATACAATCTGTTGATCAAGAAATAGCAATAGAAATAGTAGAAATAGCCTGCATGTGTTCTACAACATACCGTGCAATGGCTCTATCAACTTTTCCCTATCAACTTTTCCCTGGCTAGCAGTCCCTCGGTTAAAATCCAGCCGCTGTTGCTTAGGTGGAGGTGGAGTGGCGTCGGATGAGTCTGGGTCTGTGGTCTTAGCTACTAGCTTCGTCCCAGCATGTTGTTTCTGCAGATGTTTCAACAGATTTGAATTGCTGTTTTGGGCAGTAGATAGGATCTTTGACCCGCCAAGACACAACTTACATTTAACTAAAACGTTCTTTTCTTTGTGCTCGACAAAAGTGAAATAGTGAGAATATCTCCAGGCGGAGAAACTCGACTTGAGCTCCGCTGCCGCCATGATAGTCTTGTTAGTAAACACAAACACGCCCACAGCGCGTCTCCGCATGTGACACAGGAAGTATCTAAGTACATTTACTCAAGTACTGTACTTAAGTTGTAGCCTACTTAAGGGTGTTCTCATCGCTGTAGTTACTTTGATGTGGCGCCGCTCACCAACGTCTGGGAGCCGAGACTATATAAAAAAAATAACGGAGTAACGCACCATGTAGTAACGGTAACTGAGTTACTGAATTAAAAAAATAGTGCGTAGAGTACTAGTTACTGCCAAAATAACGGCGTTACAGTAACGCGTTACTTTGTAACGCATTAGTCCCAACACTGGCTTTTATTAAAATTGGAATTTACTGTGTAAGCGGCCGCGGGGGGCAGAGCTTTAGAGAGCTCTCTCTCAGCTCAGTGAGGTAAAGGCACACCTTTATATGATCATTGTGGTGTTTTCAAAAACACTTCATATAATTTGTAAGGTTAAAATACTGCTTGCAGCACCTTTCAGGTGACTTGTAACGTTGGTTTATTTGACACTGTTCATAAAGTTATTTGAATGTATCACTTCCTGTCAATCTTGCATCACTTCCTGTCATGCTGTTAGAAATAGAGATGGCAAATCCGGATCCTTTTATGGACTCGGAGTCTTATGAGTCAGTCATTGAAGAGATCCGGATCATACGAGTCATTTGAGTCATATGAGTCAGTATGACCAAGACAGTAGAAATCCTACCGGTGAAACCGAAAAGTTGTTGCATTTCACGAGCATATTAAACTGATGTTATATTAACCTCCGCTACACAGTGCATTTTGCTTTAATAAAAAATGTTGATCACAAATAAAAAGGGTTATTTTGCGATTTGGCGAATCTGAGTCTGCTGTTGACTCGTGCATGAGGACGAGTCTGCTGGAGCTCTGGATCTGCTGCTCTACGGTTACGGCTCTGAGTCCGCACGAGTCTGCTATGTTTTGCACAGTGAGTCAGGATTTGCGAATCTCTGAGTCTGCTGTTGACCCGCGGCTCCCGGCTCCCGCGGCTCTGAGTCCCCACGAGTCTGCAGGAAGTTTCACTGATCCGCGTCCCCTCCCCTGAGCCAAACGATAACTTCTGGAAGCTATCCTATTTGCTAAAGGGTAGGCAGATGGACTGGGGTACGTTTTAATGTTATTTTACATGTTATAAAGAGAGTAGCGAGTGACGCAATTGATAGTTTTAATTTGTACGTCACACCAGGTGTAGGACTCAAAGGACTCGGGGTTAATGGAGAGGGGAGACTCGTCACGATGAACAAAAATAATTTTAACCAAATGACACCATTTCGCCGGCGCCCCCCGTCTTCGAAATCTCTCGGAGGAGAAGAGCGAGTCACTCCCAATTCCGTGTGGAAAATATACTAGTAACACCACAAAAGGGTTTGGGGAGTATATTAAACATTCCAAATTTTAGACGAACGTTCGGTGGAATAGTCCAACTGAACATGCAACAAATAAACTGTGGACAAGTATTTCAATAAACTTACCAATGTGAAGGACAGTTAGAACGTAGTGGGAAGGACAGTACGACAATCTTTATCTCTACCGTTTGAGGCCTAGGAAAATACCTGAGCCCAGAATACCAGGTCAGTAACTTCCCTCAGGCCTAGGAATGCCTAGTAAACTCAGTATACTAAGTCAGTACTGGTTCTGTCATCTTTTTAGGAATGCCACTTTGGCTTTTCAACAACGTAAGTGCTCGTATATTTCGACTACAATATAATTTGGAGCCGATGGTGTCACCGTAAAACGAAATTATTTGTACTAACTAGTGTTTATTTTTCCCAATAAAACGACTAGACATCAGCTGAGAACTCAGACGACAAACTGAGCACGTAGCTCCTGCCTCAGACGGTACCTAGAGACCTAGACGACGAGAATGCGCAATGCATTGAGACTCAGTGCGTCGCCACAGACGAGACGATATCGTGTTCACTCCTTAGTCCTAACGCTTAGAGACTCAGGCGACAATGACCGCGAGGCCGAGGGCGCCGGATGGCCGAGGGCGAGGCGCGACGACTCAGGGGTGCTCGACTGTCCGTCAAAGTGAACTGAGGCGCAGGGGAGGGGACTCGGTTTGCTAGTGAAGACTTCGATATAGATGAACGATTATCCCATCCGATGCTACCTAGATTCCCCATGCAACCATTACAATGGAAATGTCAATGATCTCTCTCAGTCGCTCACTGCGTTAACTACAAAATTAAACATGCAGTGTGGTCCACATCCTGAGGTTGCCGCGAGCCTCAATACCCTCTCCCCCTGCTGAGCAGTGGCCTGGTCGAGACAAAGATCCTAGGCCCGATCAACTAGGCCCTACTTAGCTCCTGACGCGGGTAGATGATGCAATCATTTACCATCTATGATACGTACGGTGTACACAACAGGTGACACAGATGTCCTAATTCAAACCGTAGCGTACGCTACGCAAGCTAGTTACGCATTGTCCTATGTAAGTCAACAAATCAGTAACCATCAAGGACTAGTCCCCCAGTGTACGAAGTATAAGCTACCTTTCTACAAAAGTTGAGTGTACCTTGGGCGGTTACCCCATGTAAATGGGCGGTCGTTCATAACTTAACATACATTGGAAAAACCTCTAATTCGGGTATTGTTATATGTATTTTAGAGGGTGACTAGGCAATCTCTCGCTAGGGGATAGACTATTCACACAATTATACGTGGTTGACCATAATCATTTTAATTTGGACCTACAACTGTTATCCTAGTGTCAGACTTAAACTTTTACATTAGCGGTTTGTTTAACGGAATATGGGTCACAGGCGGTCGCCCTAAAAAAGAGGAAGTATCTTGGTTTTACCGACCTCCTAATTTGTATTGTACACGTATAATTATCCGTGCCGGATAAACCAGAACGACGCCAAGGGTAGCTATCCCCCTATCATGTAGCTATCTAATATATTAACATCTATGTATCCCTTGTCTCTCTCACCATTATACTGTATCGATCACATTGGAGAACCACTCTATGTTCTAAGAACCTACGACTCGAGTGCAACTCCTGCATTACGTACACACGTCCAAGTACCGGCAACTTATTTCTATATCATTTTCTGTGAAGCCCTTCTGTTCTCACCGCAGACGCAGCAGACATAATACATCTGTAATAATGGGTATGACTTGGTCACATGTAGATGCTACCTAGCTATCTATTTACTACTATCTATCACATCCCACCCGAGTATAAGTCTATAAAACATGGATTTTTAGGTTAATAGGTTTTTCATATTCGTGGGTTTCGACAATTAGTCGTGAACATCGCGATAATTGCGAACCGTACTATATCTGTTTGAATCACCAGGACATCCATTGTGCTGGTCAGAGAGTAAGAGACCATGAGGAAGACAGGATATTGATACATAGCTAGGTGAGCATTACAAGGAGACACCCTTATATATATTTCTGATGTATCTGTCTTGCTGCGTTACTGATGAAGACAGTAAAGGCACTCAACCAGGTAGAAAATACAGTGACTGACATTGAACCAAGGTGTGTACGATCAGGAAGTTGCACACGAGTCAGTAGTTTTAAACATAGAGGTCTACCAATTGTATAGATCTGACATAGAGATGAGAGACCAAGTTTCAAGGTAGATAGATGTTATCTATATCAGATACTGTATATAGAAAGAACTGAGATAGGATATTCCTTGGCGACACTGTTATCCGCACGATAGTC